TGGTTATCAAAACAGTCGTATTTGTTCTCTTGATGAAGAATCTATAACTCCAAGAGTATTTCAAATACCTCTGGCCTCCCTCGGTCATTATGGGTTTATGTCACTTTTCTGCTGCATTCCGACCATTGAGTACAGATCCCAAGACCAGCCCTCCAAGCCTGCAGAGCATTGAAGGCTCAGTTACAGCCCTCAGGGTTCATCTGAGTAAAAAGTCAGATAAGAGCTTCTGCATGCAGCCATCAGTGGAATAGGAGAACAGCTATGAAGCCAGCTGTACAATAACCAAAGGAAAGCCTGGAGGGACAAGCTTATTTTTATTACATGATCATGGAGCACAGCACTCAGAGCTCATAACTATTCAAATTAGTGCCTGATACCCAATCTCTAAGAAATTCATAGCACTAAAAAAAAAGAGACAGAATGAAAAATAGCATCCACAAGTATGTTTGATGTTCTGCTGTAGTTAGCAGATCTAGTGGGTTTTCTTCACTTATTACATTTCTATCTTTTTAAAAACGTCCATGTACTTTTTATTTCCATTTTTCATGGTAAAAGATACACAATAGAAACTTACCATTTTACACACTTCAATGCCATGAATTATGTGCACATTGTTGTGAAACCATCATCATTGACCTGCAGAAATTTCTGATGTTCACTGAAAATTTGTATCCAATTTTAAAACTGTATGCTCTTTCACAGCTATGTTCTACACAGCTCTTGAAACACTCATTCTACTGTGAATGATAATGAATTCATAATGATAAATTCACACCATTAAATTACCAAAATAATGTGATCAAAGAGGCAGGATTTACAGACCTATATGTTGAATTTGATGTTTTTCCCAATCTTCATCTCAGTAGATATCACATGTCCTGAATTAGACTGGCCTACTGAAGCGTCTACTTAGGGCATTGTAACATTATTTTCCTTTAGTTTGAAGATGAAACGACTCAGTATAAGAATGACCACAGCGTAGGTCAATGAAACCATAAGACCATTTATGGAATAATGCAATACAGGTACTCCAAGGTCTGTTACATAAAATAAACAAAATCTGACAGGTAAACCATTTCATGACAGGTAAGGAAGGCTTTAAATTTCCCAGTGATGGATCTCAGAATTGAAAGAACAGTTTTACAGTAAGAGTAAGAGATGTTGTAAAAGGAAGAAAAATATGGGCTCCTTGTGTGGAAATATCACATTATCTCTCTGGTGTGAGAAACTGCAAATATAAATAAGAACAAAAATCTACTATAAATATTGTAAAATAGGAAGAAACTGTCCAAAATGAAAAGGGGACTGGGGAGGGGGAGAGGGAAGAGAAAAATGAGAAAAGAAGGATAACATGAAAGCAGAGCTCTGTGAACAGGGAGGGGGAGGGGGTTAAAGGAGGGAATGTGAATGGAGGAAAAAAGAGGAATCCAGGCATATCATGTACACCTACAAATTCTTTATAATGGATGTGATCATTGTGTGTCCTTAATTTGTAGCAATGAACTTAAATAAACTAAAAAGTAAAACCAAGATAGGATAATAGGAAAAATATGGCTCCAGAAAATTCAAGACTATGTAATTATTGAAGAAGTCAAGCAAGCCAGGTGAGATTAAGGACTTTAGAAATTTAAGTAAGAATGAGAAATTTACACAGATTTTAAATAGAGAAATTTTAGGGCAAATAAATTGTGCAGCTTGGGATTCCAAAAGTAAATAAAAAGAACTCAAGCTGGAAGGCAATTCAGGTAAATGTTCATAGTGAAAGGGTAATGCAAGGGGTGGGAAATGGCCACAGACCTCTCAGAGGCCACCACTGTCACACACATGTCATTCATGCAATCAAAAGTGATAACATGAGGCCTCCATGTCAAGCAGCCCACACAGCAGGTGATTCCACAGTGAATTTGGGTGTCCATAATCATCATCAGGACCGTAGTTAAAATGAAGCGTATGTCCCCTGAGAAATGCCAGAGAAAAAAGAGAACTTGGAGTGTGGAGGTGGAAGCCAGATCCTATGGTCAGGATGAGGAGCATTCAGGCCCAGGCAACATGACCAAATATAAGGTCAGAAACAGAACAAATAGGAAGGACTGCAGTACTTGATCCTCCAAGAGGCCTATGTGATACAATTCTGAGACACTCATGAGATTTTATGGTTCTGTACTATTTTGATGCTTTTTGACAAAGAAGTAATGGCTGGAGGAAAGAGCTCCCCAACACTCTGAACACATTTGGACTTCAAAGTATTCATATGCAAAGAATTCAGACTTGAGCTCTAAAATGTACAACAGTGATTTTTGGTTCTGTTAAAACAATTATCATGGAACTCTTCTATTATGAGTTTCTCTATTTTTCACTTCCTTTCAAACACAGCTACCTCATAAACACTCAGGTGAACAATGGTAGAAGACGAAGAACACAGAATCTGAAAAGGAAAATTATCAATTATTCTCTGATTTCATTCCTACTCAAGAAACAGGAAAGTGTTTAAAGATATTCCACGGGTGTCTCAAGATATTCTGATGGTTAGAAAAAATGAAAATATTTAGAGAGCAAGAAAGCAGCGATCTCACTTTCTCAGTGAAATGGGGCAGTGTTTGCTGTCACCTAGACTCAGCATGGTGACCTAGTTGATTACTAGTTTATACAACTGCATTGAATCAGGAATAAATAGATACTGGATGCTCCATTTATAATCTTTGTCATTAACATATAAATGAAGGCGATACAAGCTTTGTATTACTATCAATATTGACACAATTAATCTCCATGCCTGTTAGGTAAAATACCTTTTGACTTGCTCTATTGTTTTTCTATTTCTGTAATGTTAGCATTTACTTTTGTCCTTATACACATGTGTATTGTGTATCTGAAGTGGAGTGATTCTCTCATCAATGATTATTCCGAGTCTCTACCTTGTTTGACACAGAAGAAGCATCAAAAATTAGATTGTGTGTTAACTTCAAAATGCTTCCATAACCAGTGTGACTTCAAAACACTCAGTGCTTTACTAGCTGCATATTTATGCTTTTCAGGAATGTCCATAGAATAAGAGACAAGAGAAAATCGCTCTTATGTATATCTGTGTCACTGGCACATGTACCTATAATTCCATTTAACAGCATCTCCAACATTCGATTTTTCAAAGATCGAGGCCAAGATTTTTCCTGAGGGGAGAAGAAAAACAAAGAAGGAAAAATTGAAAGAGTCAGGTAAAATCATACCCTTTTCCTTTCATGAAGGCACAGTGTGGAGTGTTATCACTGGCTCCACTGCCCTTTGACATTGTATTTTTCAATAGACCCAGTATTTCTTTAATAAATGAATTATTCATTTTAATAAACCACAGTGGCAAATGTTTATGAAGTCACAGAATTAGACAATGTGGCACACACACTGTGGAGAAGGGAGTTATTGTCCCCATTCCCATGAAGGGGTATGAGCACAGGGAGACGCGGACATTTGCAGGTATTCTGCATAGAGAAGTGGAAATGACACAAAACAAAGATGTTCGATTTTCTGACTCCCATCACAGGCACAGTCTTCTCTACTAACAGGAGATGAAATGTCATTCTCTTTATGAGATGAAATTACTTTGCCCATACTCGTATAAGGATAATCACTAAAAGAGTAGCTTGTGGCAAAGTAATATGCACATATTTCTGTGCTCTTTCCCTGTGATTGATAGGAACGCTTCCTATAATAGATGCAGCGCTTGCCACCCGCCGTTCTCCACTGCCAGCTACGCAAACTCCCCACCTGAAGAGAACAGTGAACAAGAAGTTGCTTCCTGCAGTGACAGGGACTTGAAATGGCTGCTTGCATTATCAACAGCACATCCATGCTACGATGCTCCAGTCAATACGCCCTAGGTCTTTCCTCAAACAGATCATCTTAAAAAAAAAAATCATCATTTTATTCTAACTAAAGCACAGTAGAAGTTAGAAAACTGCAGGATTCCTTTCTTTTCTATAAAACAATAACAGCATGAGACTGTGCAGATGAAATGACACAAGCTGCACATGACACAAAGACCAAAGCCTGGCAAGCTGAGAGGCCTGTGAAATAGTATTTGCTGTCATGATTGGGTTGTTTTCCTTTTCCTAATCTCCTTGACAAAACTTGAACAGCCCTAAGAACATAACTTGGAGGGACACATTTTCTGGGATCAGGGATTTGATATCCATGGAAAGTAGGCCCAGGTCCAAAGGACAGCAAATGTTTTTTGGTGAGGATAGGTTTGTCATATGGACCCCAGGCACAGCCAAGAACCAATATTTCATGGTACACTTACACTGAAATGCTGCATGCCGGTGTTTCCTTGGCCACCAAAAGTGACGTGCTTGTCTTTATTATGACAAAATAATGCATTAGACAGTGTTTCCTCCACCTGTCATCCCACTCACACTTACCGGGTTACTCAGAATTTCTGCTGTGTCATGAACAAAGAAATGAAGAATCAGTGTGTCTCTCCCCACCAGGAGTCCAGTGAAGGCTCAGCCCCTATCTACAGCACTTCTTTGAATACCACATCAGAAAGGAGTTTCCTTGTGAAATCAAGAACCTTCCTCAGCAAATGCAAAGAAGCAGAGACAGAGGTATGGAGGCATCAAATTGAAGGGCTGTAGACACAGGGTGACCACTTACTATTATATTACCTTGAAGGATCAAGGACCAGAGCTCATAGTTCACTAAAACGTTTCATCCATCTGAATCACTGAGGAATTCCTGATATTAATTGAGGGAGGAAAAGATTAGAAAAGGAATATCTACATGGTTTTGGCATATTTATGTATGCAGGAAGAAGTTTATGTCTGCTGCTCAATTGGTTTGTGTTTTTTTAACAAAAGAAAGCAATTCTTTTTTATTTCTATTATTTATTGTGGGGAAATATATATAACAATTAACATTTAACCATTTCTTTTTTGTACCAGGAATCAAACTCATGACCTCACACTTGCCAGGCAGGTACTGCACCACTGAACTATATCCCCAGTCCTTAACTATTTTTTTAGTATCATTACATTACTATAGCAGAGCAACAATCACCATTACACATAACCGAAAATGTTTATTTTCCATAACTAAACTTGTTTATTCATCTTAACCAAACTATATTTTTTCAATCTCATGAACCTTTCATCCATCATCCTGATAGGAATTATGCTGAGAAATTAAAGCATCAAACTACCAAAAAATGTTCACAAGGCAGACTTTACACAACTAGATGTTTAGTATTGATGCCTCTTTCCATGTATGTTCTATTTAGTTGCCTCGGGAGCTGATACTAGAATTTTCTGCTGTAGAGCCTTCTTAGGGCATTTTTAATGTCCTTATTCCTCAGGCTGTAGATGAAGGGATTCAGCATAGGGGTCACAATTGTGTACATTATGGAAGACACCACACTCTTTCTGGGAGAATGTGCTAGAGTGGATTCAAGGTACATCCCAATGCTTGTCCCATAAAATAAGCAAACAACTGACAAGTGAGACCCACAGGTAGAAAAAGCTTTATACTTCCCACCTGATGATGGGATTCTGAGAATGGAGGAAATAATTTTATAATAAGAGAACAATATTACTGAAATGGGAAAAAAAACAAATATGGCACCAACAAAATAAGTGATTATGTTTTTGGTAAAGTTTTCCATACAGTCCATTTTAAGGATGTGAGTAGGTTCACAGCAGAAGCTGGAAATGGAAGCATCCTGGAAGTAAGTGAACTTTAAGACAATTAGATTATGCAGCTGTGAGTCCATAAGGCTAAATAAAAAAGATACAAATACTAAGAAGATGCAGAAGCAAGAGTTCATAATGATGGAATACTGCAAGGGTTGGCAGATGGCCACGAACCTATAATAAGCCATCACAGTCAGAAGCATGTAATCCATACATCCAAACAGAATAAGCAGAGACATCTGTGTCAGGCAGCCTGCATAGGAGATGACACTCTTGCGAGTTAGGATGTCCACAATCATCTTTGGGACCGTGGTGGAGATGAAACAGATGTCAGCCAAGGACAGGTTGGAGAGGAAGAAGTACATGGGGGTGTGGAGTTGAGACTCTAAGCTGACAGCCAGGATGATGAGCAGGTTCCCAAGCACTGTAACCACGTACATGGACAGGAAGAGCAAAAAGAGGATGGGCTGTAGGTCTGGTTCCGTTGAGAGTTTCAGGAGACGGAATTCTACCACAGCTTTTAGATTCTGGGTGTCTGTATTGTTTGGGCACCTGTTGAAAAAGAAATACAAAGCATGGAAAAAAAGAAATAAGTAAACAGGTATCCAGCACACTGTGTGGATTTTATACTCGCATAATCACAAGTATAGTACTTTCTGTGTTCTACACCTTTAGTAACATTTTTCACTTGTACTGAACTAATGTTTTATAAATCTCCCATTGTTTATTCCACATTACTCACTTCCCCAGCACACACCCATTTTAGGGACACTTGACTGAGCAATGCTAGAAGATGAAGAATATTGGAACAAGGAGTTCATGATCACATTAAAATAGAGCCTACATTAATAAAAATTGAGAACAAGTAATAGCTTTCCTTCTTTAAGGAAAACCATTATGAGGAAATCAAAAAGCACTCACGTTTACCATACTTGTATCAAAATCAGAGTCCAATGTTCCAATGTTGGAATATTAATAAAATTTCAGTTTAGACTGTATTATTTGAACATTCAATTAATGTTGACAATTCATAGGCATAAAAATACAAGGTATGATCCAAAACAAATGCATATTTTGACAGCTCTCACTGTGATATAATTTGGAAACAATGCAAAACAGTAAAGATCAGAGAAATGATTTAATATATCTGGTAGTTTTACTAGTTGTAATATGTTGGTAGGAATTACCTGTTTCTATAGTTATTTTATGAATATTTTAAAGAATTGTTTAATTGTACAGAATAGTTTTTCTGTACCATTTATCAATACATCTACCTTATGAAATATTTAAATATGCAGATGCTCTGGCCTAAAATCACAGTTTGATCAGAATGTGTGCATGTAAATTTCTTTGGGGTTTTTTCCTGCATCAGTGTTCAGAGAAAATATGTTATCCAAATATATTTCTTGCCACTAGAAAATGTTTTTAAAATTTATTAGCATTAACTGTTTTTACTACCAGTAATGCATATTATTTATATTACAATGGGAAATTTTTACATTTCCTTCTGATTCAAAATTTCATGATTTTAATTATAATCTGTGAACATTTTGTTCTGGATATCTCTGCTTGGCTCTATTCTCTGCACATCATATCCCCAAAGGGAAGTATTGTCAGGAATTTGTGGGTAGGTTTTCCCATCATTGCTTCCATATTAGTATTGATTATGTTATCTATAAAATCTTTGCTTAAATACATACCTAAAAAGTACCTAAAGCTCATCTAAATGGTAGATAACATACATTGCTCCTGAAATATTCTACTTTACCTCATTAGTATTGATTATTGTATCTATAAAACCTTTTCTTAAAGACTTACGTGAAAAACTTCTAATGTTTATCTAAGTAATATAAACTCCCATTGACCCTGTAATATTGTACCTTACATCTACATGTGTACGAATTTTTTGTAAAGTACATACAGCTACTGAAGTGAATTAGATGATAAATTGCATTACCTAAGAGAGCCATGCCTTAATTGGTAAGTTTAGTACTAGGAAGCTTCTTTGAATATTTTTCTTTTTCTCATCACAAGTCATATGAACTAACTTTCCCCATAAAAATGTTGGTAGAGTATAATTCTTTGACTTCATGAAATAATTATGTAATTAATTTGTTTGGTATTAATGAACTACACAGTATCTCAATTAACAATTTGGTCATTAAAACTATGTCCTCTTACTATTAATATGTACAAATATCCCTAATGCCAGGGTGGAAAGAATCTTTCCAAAATGACTTAAGAAAAACTTTCATTTTACATTGAAAATATTGTTTTTATTTGAATCCTTAGAAGAGACACTCCTCCAGGATGAGACTCAAGAAATAGGCATGTTAGTCCCAAATTGTTGCCCTGCTACAATATCCTGAATGTCTGTTTCCTCTCCTGTCTTTGCTCATACTTCCCAGTGAAAATACAGTAGTTTCACTGCAAGAATTATGTGCCATATAACCTAAATTTGGGAACTTACAGATATTTGGTCACTGTGAGTTTTCTCTATGAAGGTTTCCTATATTAAGGAAATAGTAAATTTGTTGATGAATACAATCGTTAAAGGGCACTGGAGTCATCAAATAATGTGAAAACATTAATAGGTCTTAACCCAAGGCTTATATTTAGACTAATGCTTCACTTTAAATAATTTTAAGCTGCCACTGAAATTAAATGGAATTATTGGGTTCATATTCATGATACACACCCAAAGAACTATTTTATTTTTAGTTTGATGAACTGATCATTAATGATAGGGATAAAAATGCAGATAAGAAAAGACCAAACATGTTCATACCACACTGACTCTGGCCAACCGACCAGTCACTAATTAACATTCATTTTTATTTTGGATGTTTTCTCTGTGCCAGAGATGGTATAGGCTTTGCAAAATCAGAAATTAGCTAACTGTTCCTCCCCAAACACACAGTATGTACTTATACAAGGAAAATTATATGTCATCTAAAGAAATAAGCAATCAGTAACTTAAGTTCACAGCATATTTTTCTTGAAAGGCATGATGATTAATTTTCTTTTTACCCTGAGTAATAATAGCTAATATTTTGGTCTGATTTCATGCTCTCCTCATGTATTAATGACATGTGCAGCACCCACCATCTGCTCAATCCTTCCTCGGTGCACTTGTCTGAAATAGGAGTCATCTCAGATGTCAACACTGAGTCTCATAGATACTAAGAGTACTAACTACAGAAATGATGTGTTCGTCCTACACAAGCTGTGTGCATGTCCTGATTCATAGGAAGCAAAGCTCCAGGCCGTCCTCCCTCTACCCTTCCTCTCCCTCAGCACTTACTGATCTACACTGCGGCTTGGGTTGGTCATGATCAAAGAGCATGGAGCTGACGCTCATCTACTGCCAGGCATCAAGTGTGGATGCAGATTCTGTCCTCAGGACTGGAGTCAATGCATCTCTGATGGGAGCTTCCTGAAGCAGAAAATCCATGGAGGAGAAGCCTCAAACAAAGCCAGTTTTAACAGAGACATCAGACTGAAGAGCTGCAGGCCTGGGTTGATTACTGACAATTATATGACCTTGGAAGCTAAATGCACAGAGGTGATAATTAGCCAAATTGGTTCCGGTTGGCACAAACTCTTAGGACATAGTGATACTTTCCTATAGTAATTGGGGAAGAAGGAAAAAGGAAATGAATGTCAACAAATGTTTTGGTGCTCTATCTCTACATAAAAGGAAGCATATTAATACTATCATTTCCTCCATTTTTAAAAAATTCATTTGATATATATATGCATTTCTATGGTGAAATTTAAATTCCAAAGAAGTTTATACCCTTCCAAAGTGTCAAACATACAAGTCAGTGACATTAATTACACTTACAGTGTAGAGCAACCATCACCAACATTCAACTCCAGAAATTTTTCATCTTCCAAACTGAAACTGTCTACTCATTATTTTAAAATCCCCGTTCTTTCTAACCACAACACTGCCTACCACAATTCTATCATCAAACAAGATGAGGCTTAAAGCCCTTTTGCTTCAAAATCATTTTTATTTCCCATCCCCTCCTTGAGCTCTTCCTCATCCCAGATCTCTTTTCTATTTCTACAAGTCTACCTACCTATTTCTTATCATATTAGTTTACCCTTTAAATTATATTTCAGGTTTCTCATATGACACTGCATTTAAATTTGTTGTCTTAATCCTAAAACACTTGTAATGCTCCTGCTGCTCAGGTTGTGGATAAAGGACTCACCATTGGGGTGACCATGATATAATGACGGGGGCCACAGAATACTTTCTGGAAGATTATGATAGAGTTGGATTCAGGTGGCATTGAAACAAGGCAGGCAAACACTCATGTTTCATAAAATAGACAGACTACCCAATGTAGATATGATGACTATATGCAAAGTAGGCCAGGTGTGATGGCGCACACCTGTAATCCCAGCACTCAGGAGGCTGAGATAGAAGGATCATTGTGAGTTCCAGACCAGCCTGGGCTATGAAGTGAGCTCAAGGCCAGCCTGAACTGCATAGTGAGACCCCGCCTCAAAAAAGACAAAAAAATAAATAAATAAAAGTAGGACCAGTGCGGGTGGAAGTAAAAACTTTGAGATTTCTGGGAACCTCACTGCAATCAAATATATAAAATTCACAGAATTGGTCCCTGACATTTTGAACATTACTATTCAAATCTCACTACCTAAAATTTAATGTTTGTCCTTGTGATGAGGACACAATGGTTCCATTGATCTCTCCTCCATTCTTCCTACCCTCAGAACCTTCCAGGTTGTTGGTGTCTGTTTGGGTCACGGTTAATGGCATAGATCCTACACTCCTCAACTGAATGATGGTCAGTGAAGGCTAAAGGTCTATACTCAGCATTGAAATGAGTACAATAGCAGATAGGAATTTTTTGCTGCAGTAAATCATGGGAGGAAGATAAACTGGTGTGTTGATCATGAGACTGCAGACTTTAAATGAACAGGTGGAAGGTGAGGATGATGATTTATTTTATCTGATCTTGAATGCTTGCTGACCAAACTCACATTTACCCACATTGGTCCATAATTCCTAAGGGCCAGCTAAAATGAAAAGAGGGGGAGCAAGGCATAGTGCACGTCCACAAAGGCTGTTCACCCTCCATCTCAGGAAAAAAGTAAGACACATTATATACTTTCTTTTTTTATTCATGTTTTTAAAAGTGATCCATTTTTTATTTTAATTGTTTTCTTGTGTCAAAATCTACAAAAAAGTACCATTACTCTTTTTAAATGTAGAGCTTGGTAGACTATTTTTTAGGCTTTTTTTGTCTTTTAGAGGTAGAGTTTCACTCTTAAGTTTAGGCTGGCCTTGAACTCACAGCGATTCTCCTGCTTCAGCCTCCCAAGTGCTGGGATTGTAGGCATGCACCACCAGGCCTACCTGATGAATTATTTTTCATGATATTTTTAGTAACCATCACTATCATCCATCTACAGATTTTTTCATCATCCCAGACTGACACTTTGCACCCATTTGGAAATGTTCAATTTCTCCACCCAAATTCTGCCAACCACCATTCGACTGCAAATCATGATGAAGAATTAAGACCATCAACTTCAAAACTTCTATGACCAAAGAGTCAGTACTTGCAACTCTAGGTTTTGAGTATTGCTCTATTTTTAGACCCAATATTCCAAGTGTACGTGGAAGGTCTTGAGATTAAACTCCCCTCCTCTGGAGTGTATTGAAGGAACTGCTGACGTCTCCATTCTTCAGCTATAACTAAAGGGACTCAGCATAGGGATGACAACTGTGTCTGGTTATAAGCCACTTAACAGTTCCAAGAAGATTATGATACAGCTAAATTATGTATATTCCAATGCCTGTCCCAATAAACAAGCAAACAATACCAAGGAAGTAAGACCAACAGATTAAAAAGGCTTTATATATCACACAATTATGAGATTTTCAGAATGGAGGAAACAATATTATAGTACAAAAAATATATCTGAGTTGGGAGGATGACTCAAATGGTTCTGAAAGAAATGCATTACTATCTTATTGGTGATGACATCAGGACAAGCAATATTAAGTACTTGAGAAGGGTCACAGAAGATGTGATCAATTTCTACATCCTTGAAGCAGATAGTATGTAAACAAATTAAATTGTCCAACTTAGAGTGCAAAAGGCTAAGGAAAGATAATGACAAAGCAACAGGACACATAGACATGGGATCGGGATGCCTGAGTACTTCAGTGGGTGAGAAATGGCAGCAAACTAATTATAAAACATCAGTCACTCGTAGCATGTCATCCCTACACCTATGAGAAGAGACATCTGTGTCAGGCAGCCCACATAGGAGATGGCTCTACTGTGAGTTTGGATGTCCCCAGTCATCTTTGGGACCATGATGAAGGTGAAAGAGTTTTCAATATGTCAACGAAGCACAGGTTGGAGAAGGAGGGGTATATGGGGGTGTGTGGGTGGGAATCAGAACTCACAGTCAGGAGGATGAGCAGGTTGTCCAGCACAGTAACCATGCGGAGAAACACCTCTAAGAGGAGAGGTTGCCATTCTTGATCTTCTGAGAGATTCAAGAGGAATTCTGAGACATGTGTTACATTTTGTGTGTCAGTGCTCCATGGACACATTCAGCACAAAAGGAGGGTGGGAAAATGCAAACAAATATGCAACTATGCAGCACTCTATATACTTTAATTCAAATATTCACAATTAAAACATTGACATTTGAGGACACATAATGAAAACTTGTGTTAATGCTGCCATAATTTTATAAAATCACAGATAAAAAATAAAATACTATTGGCAATAAGTAAGCTGGCAGGTAGAAGGAAAGAAAGGA